AATTCCCCAGCCAGCCATGCTGGCTGGGGGATTCTGGGGGGTGAAGTCCACTCGTCTTAAAGTGGCCAAGTTTGGACAACACTGCTATAAACAGTTTGAAGGAGAATGGTAGCAGAGAGGGATAAAAATAATAAATAACAACAAGTTAATGATCATGAAAACTTATTAAAAAGCACACCTAGATGACTATTTAATAACCATAATTTACTGAGGCACTGGTTAGCTATGCATAAGTTTGGCCCCAAAATACAATACTCTTCAATCCTTAATTAGCCAGGCACAGAAAAATCTTTCAAAATCTGACCTGAGATCCTCTCGGTCCTCGTTTGTGATCCCATTCAGAATGTCCCATGATCTACAGAAAGACAAGAGAATAGGAGTAATTGCTGTCATGGTAGCAGCATTAATACTACTACTACTACTAATTTGCACTATATGTGCATATATACAAAGCTATGTTTATATATAAATCTAGGGATGTGATTGCACATATGGAAAATATGTCAATATCAAAATATAACTACTACTGGATTTTATTTTTTTCTATGCACATTCAGCTTTGATGGAAGTTAACTTACTTTCAAAATTGCTTTTAAAGGACAAAAGACTGTTGGTCTCATGAATGGTATATGATGTCTTTTATTTTTATTTTTTTTAGTTAAAAAGTGGCACATTGATGCTTGCCAGAAGGGAACCGATGATTTTCAGTCTGGACAGAACCATCAGAAAAACATGGAACAGAGCTGTCCAACTCTCAAGGCTGGGAAAAAAACAGCCCAAAGTCCATTAATTCAAAGGAGTGGGAAGAAAAAGCCCAGGATTTAAACCTTGGGGCTGAGAAACAGAGACATGCATGCACATGCATACACACAGATGCGAGAGAGGGCTTGACATTGTGTTTTACAGAAGGCAGATCTTCTGCACACATATGACTTTCTTGTCTGCACTAAAGCAATTTAACCAGCTGAGTCATGTCTATGAAGTTTCTGCTGTTAGCTAGTTCCTGAATGCAGGGCTGAGTTTCTGGAAAGCTGAGATTTATTGCCCTGGCTGGTGTGAAGCCTAACAAACAAGGAGTATGTGTGAGTCTTAGGAATGTATACTCCTGATAGTCTGCCGCCTCCCTGGCTTTCGTCTGTATCATCAGACCCCAAGAGGAATTTCTGTGGGTTCCCCCTGACCCACCCAGATTGGTTAGCATTCAGGGGAGTTTCTGAGTTATGGAATGGCATATTCAAGGTTTGGGGTGAAGCCAAAATTCTGGAAGGTCAAAGGAAACCAATGTAAATTTTCAGACAGCTTTCAAAGGCAAGCAATCCTAGCTGGAATTAAACATGATATGTTTGTAAACTATACTGAAACCTCATTTTAATAAAAGCCATTCACAAAATATTTGACCATGTCCATTCATATTTATGGTTCATGCGCCAAGGCTTATTGGCAGCAAAACTCCCTAATACAATAAATGAATAACTCTAAAAATTTGTGGAGAGGGAAGGAGGAACAATGCTTTCAGGCAGCTGAATTCAGGGGTGTTGTCAGCCCTATAGGGTAGACCAGATTAAGAAACTAATGCCATATAGGTCTAAAAGTACTTTGATTAGAACAGCTACAGTAACCAAATCTTGCAAGACTGAACATGCTGCCCTCCTCTCACATGTTATGTTTGTATGAATTAGGGAGGGGCCTGTCTGAGACATTTACTCAAATCAGCTTCTTGGCCCTGCTTATTTGATGGTTGCTTGATAGCACCTCTTCCTCCTGTCCTTCAAGGCCATTCTTTATGCCCTCTACAGGTATCTATCAACCCTCCAAAGTTAGCCAACATCATCACCACCCTCATATGGTACAGAACATCCAACAAAACCAAAAACAACACCAAAGAATCAGTGAGTTGTCCATCTCACTTCTTGAAAAAACCTGGTATAGTTAGCCCTACCAGTTGCCCAGGCTAAATTTCCTGCCCACTGACAAATTTGTTGCATCCCATAGGTTGGAAAGTATGACACCTTAAGCTGCTGGAGGAAAAGTGCTGAGATGTAAAGATTAATAGTCATTGTCATCATCACCATCATCATCTGTTTTTTAAATCAAACAAAAATCATTTCTGGCAGCACAACCAAACAATTTCCAAATGCTGGTGACGTGGAACCTCAAGTAAACTCTGTAACGTTATCAGTTTAGTATTGTCTTTTCCAATTAGAAAGGTTTTCTGACATCTTGCAGTTAAATGTTCAAATTCAAAGTTATTTCCAGAGCAGATTTTGATAAAGTTTGCAGACTGATCAGGCAACCAATCTTGTCAACTGACTGATCCACTGTACACTTACAATTTGACTGGAAATATACTCAGATATTCCCAGAAAACAACCTGCAAATGTTACTGCTTAAGGGAAGGGGAAGAGATCTTTAGAGGTCTTGAGTAAACACTTTATTCTTGGTAGTCTATATATCACAAGCTGGAATGCTTGATTATTTATTTTTTTTTATAAATACTGATATGAAACAACTTAATTTGTGCAGGCTTAACGTGCAAGCTGGAATGTTGTTTTTCAGCTTATGTCCTTGTTGGTTATGCGGAAGGAACCCTTGGCACCAACAATATATAAAAATGTACTCCAAAATATGTGTTTCAGGAAAAGTATACTAACTTATTTTCCATCAAAACCTTTGCACTGACATTAAAATAAATAAATAAATAGATAGATAGATAGATAGATAGATAGATAGATAGATAGATAGATAGATAGGTTTCCCGGGGGGAGGAGGCAGAGCAACTGAGGAAATGTACATCATCATCATCACAATGCAAGTACAAAAGGGTGGAGCTTGTATTGTGACATCAAAACACTTTTCTCATTTTAGCATCCGTGTGGTCAGGAACAAAGACCTAGGGAAGGGGCAGACCACCAGAAAAAGATGTAACAGTATGTGCGAAAGACCTTGGGAAACTGGGCAAAGAGATGCTGCCAAGGGAATGGTCAGATAAGAGACAGCATAGCCTGCAGCTGGA